TAGTTTCCCCCCCAATATACAAGATGGATTAATCAATAATGAATAGTTGAAGCTTTTTACTTAAAGGTGACCTATCATGCAAAATGCACTTTTCTACGTCTTGTATACATGAATGTGTGTCCCCGGTGTTCCAGGGAACTCACCAAGTGTCAGAAAACACAACCCTCTCTATTTTCCTCCATACCCAAATCTCTTAAAAAGGGGCTGCAACGGATCTGATACAGACTGATCCAGATTTGAACACTTCTGTGACGTCACAGAAGTGGCGCTACGGCTATTGAGCCAACTCCACCAATCAGGAGGAGACAGCCACGGACATTGCCGTTGGAAAGCGCTGGAGACGCTGTAGTACATATGCCAGGCCTGTAGATGGTGCTGTTCTCACAGAATCAGCCCATGCAAAGACAAATAAAAAGTATAAATATGCCTTATATAGGTATGGTCCTACACTATATTATTCAAAAATAGCATGATAGGTCCACTTTAAAGTATCAGGATTTAACATTAACAGTGGTTTGATGTAAAGATTGCCACAAAACAAACAAGGACACAACAAATCTTTCCCTTTAAGGAGGCAGCTTTAGGGAACGCTTGGTTTACACTGTGATCATTTCATATTTTCCACTTTCAAAAGCTTTTATCAGATGTAAGGTCTGAGCCCAGTTTCAAGGCTGATATAGATTTCTGTAGATTGACGCTGAAACAAAGTGCTTTGCTTCAGGGCTGAAGTGGGTTAAGAACATTTCAAAGACCTTCCCTTTTATTTACAAATCTAACCCTTTTTTTTAATTTTTTTAATGTGGTCGATTAAACTGCTGTTGGTATGTTTAATTATAGATCACTGCATCCTGGACTTGTGATGGAGTGTTTATCTGCAAAGGATGCAGATCTGAGCGTCTGAGAGTTGCTTACCAGACGGCGAAGCTGTTACTCTGTGTACTTTATTCATGTTCTGGAAATATTTAATCCCTAGTTTCTCTTTAAAACAACTTGGCCTGTGCAGCTCTTCTACTTCAGAGATACTGCACATACTTTTGTTTAGGTACTGTGCTACATACAATGCATTTAATTTAGCTGTCGATTGACTTGCAGTACAATAGGTGCAATAAACCTCAAACTCAAAAAAACTAGAATCCTGTAAGTACATTGGCTTTGAATGAGCCGAACCATTGATACCAAGTTATACTCCATTAGCTTCAAATAAGACAGATCTTTCTAAGCTAAAGTGGATTTTTTATTTTTTATTATTGGTCGAGGGACTAATTTTTTGTATGCTAAAACATGAATGGCATCTGAATTCTGAGTCAGGTCAGCACATTTAGCAGTGGCGAACCGTCAGGGCCTTCTAGGTATTCAGAGAATACCCTGGAACACTCAGATAAAACTAGCGCGGCGGCGGGGGGTGTGTGTGTCTACAGAAGGTCCAGTTGCGACACGGTTCGCCACTGACATTTAGTCATTTTTGTATATTCGTATTTCTTGTAAAAAAAACACTATATTTCAGATTATTCTTTAAGTATTATTTATCTTAGTTAAACTCTTAATTAGTCTTACTGTGTTTACCTATGCGCCATTATATACTAAAGCAAATCCCTAATATATAGAAACCTAGTTGGCAATCATTCAAATCCTCAGATAAGCATAAACTGACATTGAAACATCATAACAAATGTTTAATTTTGATTAAAATGTCAGATGCATCATAATCCCACGCTCCCAACTGTTTCAGTGTTATTTTTATCACAGGTAATGGACGACTGTTCGCCCCGTTGCAATGTTCCTGTGTCTCTACACAGCCAATTTCTGTATTTTCTAAGTGCCTGCACCATAATTACATGCTTGAGAGGCGTGAAGGGTAGCCATTAATGTCAGCCGTGTCAGTGTAAAAGGTGAGAACAGAGTTACAGCGCGGGCTAAAGGGAAACTGTCGCCCAATCAGCTGCTGGAGCTCCTGCTGTGTTCCTGCTCGCGCCCACAGAGATGAGGTCTGAATATTTTATAGCCGATCATTTGAAGGGTTGCAAGAGCTCCCAGCGTGACTAAATATTCAGTGAACTGCAACTCACATTTTAACCCCGTGGAACGGGATGAAAGGAGGACGAGACGCGAGGAGCCCCTCTTCACCTGCAGCACGGACCAGTAGCTCCCTCTGTGAGGACGCACGGGGTCAGGGTTTCTGAAACCAGAGGAAATTATTTTAAAAATCTTTAATTGATGTTAATAGTAGTATGCAGAAGTGTTTGCAGGAGGTTCAAGATTGATTTCAATCCTGAAACACTTTAAACACTTAGATTTTTATAAATGATAGATGCCGTTATAGATCATGTAAATTTAATTGTTTGGGGTTTTGAGTGGTTCCCACAGGTAGAGCAATTTCAAAACGATTCTTCAAGATTTTCCCTTTCCTGTAGTGTGGTATAGGGTTTCGTGCATGTAAATGGTCTAAAATCCCTCTGTTCCCTCCAGAGGAAGCTTCTCCAACATATTGTACGTGATAAGTAGGCGGGACATCTCTAAGCTAGTTGACCAATCACAACAGAGCCGGCCAGCTAACCAATAGCCGCTTTCACACCAAATACTTTGCCGTACTTAGTTCCCAGCACTTAGTTCCCAAGATTTAGTACCCCCATGGAACTAAAGAGCTGATCGCGTTCACACCGGAATAAATTCCCTGAGGGAAGATTACGCAAATGAAGCCGCTGGCGTCACTTCTTCTTCTTCTGCTTTGGGTTTACTGGTAGGCCGCAAACAACTTCATGGCGTATACTGCCACCCGAAGTCCCAGGCCGGAAGTCCCCGGAGTTGGGGACTGGCTTCAGTAGAAGCTGCTGGGACTCCCGGCAGCTTCTACTGAAGCCTTCCGAGTAAATCACCAGAACGCCGACACCTCCTCATCTCCACTCCACCGCTCCCATGTTTTCCTTTTTGTTGCCATAACTTATTCTCTCTCCGTTGGTGCGCAGGGCTAATGCTAATGCTAATAATGCTAATGCCAGCAAATACAATTGCGGCTACAAAAAACCTTTCCGAGTTTTACGGGGTGTGGTTTGCAATTCGCCCAGCCAATCAGAAATTGGAACTTTTTTCTCCCCCAGGAAAGTAGCAGCAGGCACTGCAAATGGGGGTAAAAGTTCTCATGAACTAAGTTCTCTTTTTGGTGTGAGCGCAAAATCCCAGGAACTATCGGAACTAAACGGGAAAAGTACTCGGGTGTGAAAACGCCTAATCAGAGCAGACTGGGCTCTGGTTTCAGACAGAGGGTGAAAAGAGGTGCTGCAGCACAGGCAGTATGAGAAAGATAAAGAGCTTTTTGAACATTAAAGCATGGAGACATGTCGCAGTAGAGACACAGAATACAAATATTATCATTCGAATGTTAAATGTTTTCCTAAAAATAAATGTTCTGCTTCAACACATGTTGGTTAACTTGGTAGAAAACAACATTTGAATGGACTAAAAAACTGTTTGCTTCCCCCTTGCCGCGCACAAAAGGAGAAACGCACCTGTATCAAAGCGCCAGCCTAGCAGCAATCTAACAGCACCGAATAACATTTATGTAACCACAATAACAAAAATATTTTCCAGACTTTTTTTCTCAAATGAAAAATAACATTCAGTACAAGCCTTGAACTATTTCTGACCTCAGCTACCACGACATGAACTTTCAGCGGTGAAATAACCAACAGACCTCTTTGTAAGTCTGCAGTTACTTTACTCATGTGATTTTCATCAAATGTGCCCTTGAAGTATCAATCAGTCTGTAACCCGGAGTAGAAAGAATACGTTTAAAGTTGGCTATGCTGCGTCTTAACTTTAAAAACTGTTGGAAATTCTCATGCATCCTCCAGCTTGGTGCATCTCACTCAGTAATAACCATCAGAAAACAGAAAATAAACCATGTTTTCTATTTGAGTGAGTCATGTTTTTGAAGATGACAAATCAGTGTGTTTGCTGATTAATTTAGGCTCACGATGTCTTCACTGGCCGTTCATTCACACCACTGCATAAATTGTAATATACACAATTGAACATTTAATTTAATTATTGCTATTGATTGCAGTTAATCTGTAATTGCAAAATTAGCTTTTTATGGCTGACACATTTATTTGATGGACTCAAGTGCTCAAGTTCATTCATTTGCATTTTCCCTCATTTAATAAACCAATACAAAATATATTATTACATTTTTTTTTAATGGAGTAATAGTCACAAAACCTAATTCCATTATGCTTGTATACATATTGTAATTTATGAATCATTCCATTTTTAGCTTAGTATATTTTATACTTTTTGCTGCACTTTTAACCGCCCAACAGATTTGCTTTTCACACTTTTTATTCGTTTTCTTCTTTCCATTCGACATCACTGTTATAGTTTCCTCTTTGTTAAGTTATAAAGCAGCAGAGACTCCCCCCACCGTCACCTGTGTGCAGCGGCAGAGGATTTGATGTTGTTGTCATGAGGTTTCCACATCGTTTTGGAATGAATAGAAAATAGAGGCGGTATGAAAGGAAGGACAAATTATTTGAAATGTCAAGTATTGCATAAGGCTGTTCTTTTTAAAATACCAATTTTAAAAAAAGCGTTTGGTTTAAATAACGTCTTCCTAAGAAGAAAATTCCAGTAAGGGTCAAGAAAAATTGAGAAAGAATACAGACTTCAGAGTCCACGAGTTTATCATCAAAATAAATACTGAAAAGTATTACTTTTTTATTTAAAGGGCCCATGTCATGCTTTTCCGGTTATTACCCGTCCCCTTGTGTGTTATGAAGGTTTTTATGCATGTAAACGGTCTGCAGAGTCAAAAACCCTCAAAGTACACCC